TCCAAATCACTGATGAAGATGTTGAACAGTGCGGGCCCGAGGACCGAGCCCTGCGGGACCCCACTGCCCACGTCCTTCCAGGTTGAGAAGGACCCATCCACTACCACCCTCTGGGTGCGGCCCTCCAGCCAGTTGGCGACCCATTTGACTGTGTGGGTGTCTACACCACAGCCCCCCAGTTTCTTAATGAGAACGGGGTGAGAGACAGTGTCAAAAGCCTTCCAGAAGTCCAGGAAGACTATGTCCACTGCTACTATGTCTGTCTGCTCTAAGGCAGCCACCTTCTTCATATGGGCAACAAGGCGCAAAAATCAAGGCAAAGGCCACATGTAGAAGCGGATTAGCCCCCAAATGCAGAACAAATTCCCACCTAAAGCCACAGATTCAAATCCCAGCAAGGTTCTGTGTCCTTCAGAGATAAAGAAACTGAGATTGCTGTGAGCCAGGCAAAGTCCTATCTCGACGACTGTGGGGCTGCCTTTTTAAGGACAGGGCTTTAGCCTAGTGCCTTTGCCCAAATTTCGATCTTTATTGCTCTATAGTGCAAATTGTTTTCTTCCTTGCAACGCCTAAGGCAGCTGCATTACAAAGGTGCTACGTGACAGATTAATACTGTAGTCTGTTACCAGGGGCAAAGACCACACCTGTATTTTTCCCCCATACACAGCATGATCCCCCTAAGGTTATACGGCCGGGCATCAACCTTCTCTCTGGCAGCCTGGTGCCAAGTTTAGCCACCAGGCCACAATCTGCATTTGTGCATGTGCTAAGGTACACAGCAGTTCAGCTGGCCAGGGGACAACGAGTATCCAGAGCTCCCAGTAATTTCCCCACTGGCTTTAATAGGAGCTGCAGCTGCCCAGCACTTCTGATAGATAAATCCAACAATCCACACGCTCGGAGTTCGCATTGTTGGACGCAGCCAAAACACACTACTGCGTCAGATGAAAACCCGCACAGGAAGACATTATGAACAGCCACCTCTATCTCTCTCCATCACGGGATGCTGCTGCTTGTGAACTGCTGCCAGGGGGTTTGGCTGTCAGCCCATAGGTAAATACATGACAGACTGTGTGCATCATATCCAGGGTTTCAGGGATGAAAGGCACAGGAGTGCAGCCAGGTGAACAAGAGGCTGTAGGCACCGGCCAGCTCAGATGAGACCTCAGCCTGGGAAACTGCTACAGAGCTGTTCCAGCTGCCTCACTATATAAGCGTGCATCTGGGGAGCCTCTAGCATGAGAGCCTGTCATAGTTCGTAGTGCCTTTATCTGCACTGTGCAATTACTCCCATTTTGCAGAGAGAGAACTGAAGCACAGAGAAGTTAAGGGCCAAATGCATACAGAAACTAGGGCAGTGCAATGCATAAACATTAATTAGCAGTGCCCAGTAGATTCACAGGCCTGAGTTTGGTGCCTGGGCTCCCCATATAGTGTCAGCGGAGAGTTGCACAGCTTAAAATGAGACTGCCCACATGTCAGCAAGCTCAACAAGGAGCCATTAAAGCTATCCTGTTGGAAACACAAGGAGAGGAATGGGATGTCAGCTCCAGTCCACAAAGGCTGTTGAGTACCTAAGTGTAGACTGGATGGAGGAGCCTCTCTCTATCCACGATCCTCAGGTACAGCTCTACTCCTGGACGTAGGCAGCTGAACCTGGTCAGTGCTTTTCCATGGGCAATCCTGCTGCCCAGCATGAGAGAGACGGACAGACTGGCCCCACAACCCAGCAGTTTGGGCACTCTGCTAGGATGAGGGGACTCAGATGGCTTGTCCCTGCTCCAAGGAGCACTGTACAAATGGAAACAGTGCCAGCAGAGGGAGCACATCCCCCAGGACACCCCCTACCATCAGGGTCATGGCATTCCAGCTGGGATGTAGAACAGCTGGGTTCAACATGTGGCCAGCTGGATGAGAGATATAAAACACAGTTCTTCACATCCCAGGGGAGTCCCCTTACAGCGGGCAATGGACATACACAAGTACACACATGCTCCCCTCTCTGGCTAACTTCTGTACAGGTTAGAGGCAGTCTGAGAATATGCCCAGGACTGGGAGACAGGTGGGGCAGTGCATTGCTGGAGGATCCCACTTAGCACCTCTGGCACCCTATGACTCGCCCAACTTTACACAAGAAGCCAGTGGCAAAGATGGGAACTGAACCCAGGGCTCTCAAGTCCTAGATTTTGATACTGTATAACAAGGGGGTGGGGGGGAGTGGGCAATTATTTGGGTTTCGAGGCCACTTAGGGAGTTTTGGTGAGCTGTTGTGGCTTGGGTCAGAACACCCACACCTTCCGACCCACAAGAGCTCACCCAAACTCCCCCGGTGGGAGATTACTAAACCAGTCCAGTGCCCCCCAGAGGGTCACCAGGGACCAGCCTGGCTGCCACTGCCCCATGATCCCAGCCCTGGCTCCACCCAACTGTCCCACTCCCTGCCCCATCCCAAGCACCCAGCCAGCAGGTGTCCCAGGCTGGTCTCCACCGAGACCCTGCCCACCCCTTGCCCCCAGCAGTAGGTGCGGGGTGGACAAGCTGGGATGCCCAGGCAGCAAGGCCAGGTCTGGCAGCAGTGGCACTGGCAGTAGCAGCCAGAGGGAGCCACCACTGCTGGGAAGTGGAGTCCGGCTGCCACACTGCCCCAACCCCACTGTGGGCCTGGGGGCAGCGGTACTGGGCACATGCACCATAGCCTAGGATGCCCCCCATGCCTGGGCTGGACAGGGCTGAGGGATCCACTGTGGGTCAGATAAAATCCCTTGGTGGGCCAGATTTGACCCATGGGCCAGATTTTGCCCACTCCTGCCCTATAGGGTACTATGTCTTGGGTTTTGTGTCAGGGTTGACGGTTAATTTATGAAGAGTTTACCTTATCGGTTTGTATAGGATGGTTTGGATAGGGATACTCCTGCCACAGGGCTTGGACTAGATGACCTCTGGAGATCCCTTCCAGCCCAACTTCTATAGGAGTTGAAGACTTTAGGATACCCTAGCAAGGGGCACCCGTCCTGGTGGGATCTTGCCTGGAGAATGACACTTTCCTGGTATGCTGCTTAACCCTACTAAAGTCAGCAGAGCTCCACATGTACAGCAGACAGAGAAACCTAACCCAAGCGCTCCTGTCACTGAAAATCTTGGTAAGAAATTGGGTCAAATCCTGCCCTCACTTGGATGGAGATATGTCCTACTCATTGCAGGGCAGCAGCTGGCAGCAGAGTCTCTCCTTTACAATGCTTGATACGGCTTTTTGCTAAAGCCTACAGGCCCACTCTGTCCTTGGATGTCCTCTGGTTGTTTCCAAGAATGAAATCTGGCTTTGGACCTTTGGGGTATTTCCACAGTCCCCGTCCCTGCTCCTCTGCTTACCCAGCTCCTCACAAGTCTTCCAAATGGCACTTGCTCTGCTTGTGCTTTGAACAAAATGTTCTGCAGGTCATTTTGTCTCGCTCCAGTATCACAACATGAGTATGCTTACAGGCTTGCTCAGCAAAGCCAAGAACATCGGGCAGAAATTGCCCTCTTCTAGGGTGGAATCGGGCCAGTGTTTAGCTTGGCTTTGCCTATTCCTCATGTCTGGCAAGCAGATTTTGCTCCATTTGGCGTTCAGGCTGCTGTGTACAGGGAGACTGGGAACTGAGTCCTACTAGACACTTAACTAAATATAGACACTGGCACAACCTTGGAGTTAACTGGCAGGTTGTGCTCAAAGTAACTGGGCTGCATCTTAGCCTCTCCCATGAGTTTCTTCTCTCTATAAACTTAGCAACTATGACAGCAACCTGAGGTGCCCACATCAGCAAGGGAGGGAGGGAGAGCTTGCAGAGGGAGCCGGTGGCCAATGCACCAAGACTTACATAAATATAAATGCAAAGGTAAAATTGGCAGATATGTTTTTATATGGAATATTTATATATAAGCATACTCCTGTAACTCTTGGGGACTGCACCAAGTACAATGTTGTGCAAACACGTAATGAGACTCACTCCAGCTTATATAGCTGAAACGCACAAAGACAGGTCAAAAAAGGGGAGCAGGGGCACAGCGAGGGGAGGTGACTTGCCCAATCTCACACACCGTGTCAGTGGTAGAGCCAGCAACAGAGCCCAGAGATTTCAGGGGGAATTCAAAGAGGATAGTCCAGTGGTTCCCAACCAGGATGCCATGGTTGGATACCACACCACATTGGCACAGATAGGCATGCAACCATGACTCACAAGATAAACTCAGAGATTTCAAATAAGAATCCACAGTGTTAAGAACAATTCTGAGCTGTTGTGCCCTTTCTGAATTCTTTGCAACAGAAGAATGGCTGTATTATCTTTATCCAGTCAAAAATTGAGTGAAACTATGAGACTGCATTTTCCAAGGGGTGCCTTGAGTCTAAAAAAGGATCATCTCCCCAGAGCTGAAGTGCATGTGGGATTGCCAAGGCTCTGTAGTGTGGGAAGGGCCAGCTCAGATGAGAGGGATACCCAAAGTCTCTTGACTGTCTAAAGTCATTAACTGGCAATTTTTACCAGGAGGAAAAACTGGCAAAATGCTGACCCCCATCACTCCAGATTTACACAGACGGAGGTGGAATTACACTACATTTACACCAATGTAACCAAAGACAGAATTTGGCACAGAAGACATCATTAGCCTACAGATGATGTGCCATTATCAGGACTTATAGATGCCTTCCCTCAAGGCTAGCTCCATGTATAAAGACTGTTTTCATGATAAAGCTGTCAGGTAAATTGCTGCTCTTACAAGAGCTGCCAATTCTCACAAGGAGAAAAACACTGATGGACAGAAAAAACCCCCAACTAAAGCTAAACTCAACCAAACTCTCACCATAATTAGCAGCCAACTTCAGATTGGGGTATACAAAAGTATAAGGAGACAATGCCTAGCAGAGGGCAAAGCCCATGATGTAAGAGTTGTATTTGTTGTTGGAAAAAAATCTTTCCATGGAAAGAAGCCTGGGATGAAGTGACTCACTCCTGGAGAATCCCATGCAGGAGACCATCAGAAAACACTTGAAATTAGAAAATGTACAACATTTCTGACCATGTGCAATGCCACAGCCTAGATCATTTGACATGGCGTGAGAAGCAAATTAGGAGTAACATCACAGTCTTTTGATTGATCTGAATCTCAAATGACACCCAACTCCAAGCACTAACAGTGCAGCCACCTTGGAGCACTGCTGGGCCTGTACCACCAGACACCCAGGACAGGGAGCTTATAAGCATATGCCCAGCCCTGTTTCAGGGTGGCTGTGTTGTCTGCATTTCAGGGTGCAGTGTACAGGGAACAAATGTGCCCCGTGCTGAAGAGCAGGACAGTCAGGTTCATCACATAGGGAAGAAAGACAGGGCAATGCAAGCATGTTGTGGAACTGGCAAGCTCCTTCATAGAGTAGGGCTGGAAGGCACTTCCAGAGGTCACTAGTCCACCACGCTGCCCGAGACAGGATCACCCCTATCCCATACCAAGCTACTGTCCAACCTCTTAGCAAAACTACACAGTCAATCCTGACACAGCTCCAGACATAACACCCAAACCTGCCACAGGTAAAGCAAGGGGACCGCAGCAGCCAGTGTAGAAAGGTTTTGTGCCTCCATGCTCTCTTGCTGAATAGAAAGGTGAGGGATAACTAGCTGCATGATGTGGGCTGGGTACCCAACTACTCAGTACCTCATTGTTGGCATAGTGCAGATCCATCATCTGTCCAAAAGCATCCATGACTTTCTGCAGCACTTCTTTGAATCTGACCGGTCTTGGAAACTGGATAATCCTAAGAACAGAAATACGGGTAGAGGTGTCACCTGGATAAACCTGTGCTGTGGAAGTAGATTAGCCTCAGCCTGGTGGAGCAGGGACCTATTCTCCGATGTCATGACATACCCTATTCATAAATAATGATCAATAATTATGGGGCAGATCGTGGCAGGGAGGCCACAAGCAACCTCCCCTTGTCCACACAACAGCTCCAACATGGATGGTGAACTCAGGCCCAGCTCCTTGCAGGTAACGTTCCCTCAGGGGCTGGGGGAGCTTGTTCCATCCAGAAGGAAGCACGGTCGCCTCTCAGATCATGCCCCGAGGCTCACAGCACAGCCCCTCTGTCCTCAATAAAGGTACAAATTTTCCCTTCCAAGGCAGAACCTACGTCCAACAGTACGTCCTTGAGATCAGGCAGCGGACCCACAGACCACACCTGGGCCAGTTTCCCTTGTGATTTGTCATTTCATGGGTTACAGAGTGGCAATGAATAGCAGACTAAACATGGCTTGGTTTGCTAGGGCAACTCTCCTATGCCTGCAGATGCAGGGTCCCACGGGTTTCAGTAGAAGCTGCAGGTGTGTAAGCATACAGGATCCAGCCCTGTGCTGTGTGCATTGTGTTATCCTCTACTGAGTGCATTAGCCACTGTGACCATCAGCCTGAAACCCCTTCTCTCCGAGGCAACCTGCCCAGCCAGGCCCTGAACCCTGCCACGAGCGGAGATCCTTCCCTGTAAATGTCAAGTTGGGAAGGGCGGACGGGCTTCGAATAGCAGCTCTGTTATTATGGGACTCATGCCCAAAATCTACTTATCTTGAGTAAGTGTCACAGGCTGCTAATCAAAGAACACTCTTCAGTGGGAGATTCAATGGCCAACTATGGTTCAATAGGCTGCAGAAATAAAGGTAAAAGTGGAGAGAAGAATCCAACCACATCTAATGGGGCATTTCATGGATTCCAGTTTGGAAATCAATTCCCTGGGCACAAAGGAGATTTGTAGTTACTGGGCAGGCCTTGCAAAGGGGAACTCTCCTCACAGGGCTTCCACTGTGTGCACACAGGGCTGGGTAGAAAGGTGCAGACAGGTGGCCCCAGGTGCAAAGCAGAGTCGCATTAGTGTCATGAGAGCAGGCACGCACCTTTTCTCCCCGTCATATTCAAACTTGAGCCTGGCGTTGCGCTGCTGAAAGAAAGAAGACAGTTAATAACCAAGTTCCTTTACACTGGGCTGGCAGGGTCTGATTCAAAGCCCTGCAAAACTATAAAAAAGATGCCCACTAACTTCAGTGAGACCCTGTTGAAGGCCCACTGCCTTCAGATGGACCCAAGGATGGATTATACCATAAGAGCCCCAGGCTGCTTCCCTCCTTAAACACAAGAACCCCCAGAATCTGGTAAAAATAATCTTGTCTATCAATAAAAAGAACCTCTAGTGACAGTAACTGGCTCTTAACTCTGCATAACTGACAGGTTTGGTATGATATGTTTGCTCGGGCTCTGCTGGGTAACATCTTCCAAAATCACCCAGAAGCCAAAGGCCTATTTTCCAGGTGGGACAAGCATTTAGCAACTTAAGCTGGACTGGACTTGAGGGCTTTGGATCATCTTTCCCATTGCTGACTTCTGAGTAGGAGATCCCAGAACCTGTCCTATGCTTCTGGGGGCAACAACAGGGTGTTAAGTAGCACACAACAAGAGTTTAGGTAGGGATACCAAGTACTGCATTCAAGACTGCCAAGGACCTGAACTTGTTAAATCTGCTCCAGCCTAAGTTAGGGTGCCACCTTTCACTAATTATCATCATTCAGTTTTTATTATGTTAGGACCTACAGAATCGAAACAAGGTCAGGAACCTGGTTGCATTCACACTGTACAGACACGCACGGGACCTGGTCTTCCACCTTAAAAATGCTATCTGAATTACGTGGAGATGCCTCAGCTGAGATCCAGAACTCACTTGTACAAAGGCCTCAGGCCTCTGCCACACATTACACTTGTGACACGATTACCCAATCACACTTTAAAGCAATTAAGTGCATCATAAAACAATAAACCATAACGTTATCCACAAAAAATGCATAACAACTTTGTCGCTGGTTCCGATTATGCCATTAATTGAATGTGTGGCCAGGTGCACCCATCTGACTGGGGGTGCATCAAGCACCCCTGAGGTTGGGAGCCCACAGCTGATTGCGATCCTGGGCTCCCCTTCCACTGCCAGTAAGGTGCAAGGGGATCTGATGCTCAGTCCCGCAATCACAACTCCTGCCATGCATGTGTGTAAGGCAGGAAGAGCACTGCGTGGATCATGCATCAGATCCCATCCTTCCTTTACCTGCGGGTCTGGTAGGGGTGTCAGACATCCCTTCCTCCTCTCCACATATTGGAAAAATGGACAAAGCAAGTAGAGGGTGCAAGAAAGCTGTTATCATTCCCAAGTGGGGAAGCACGACATACAGAGACTAAGAAATTTGTGGTCTGGGGCAGGACCTAGTATCAAAATCAAGGCAGTGCCAAAAACACAAGGTTGTCCTGCCTCACCCTTACAGCCTGCTGTATGCAGAACTAGTTGGCTGCTTTTAGCTGTAGTCCTGCTCTCTCTCACTTCGTCTGTATTAAACCAATGGGGTTTTTTTGTTTTCTGTTACAGAGAAGCTCCAAATGCACTGCTCACCTTAGCTGGAGCAGCAGGGCTGCACCGTTGAGGAAGAATCAGCCTCACACTCCCTGCATCTGAACAGGACAACTCCTGAATGGGTGGATGACAACACTTCCTGAGAGTGCTCCTTATCGCTAACCCTGCATTTCCAGAGTGTGAAGGCACAGTTTCCATACTCTCACCCTTTCGAAGGCAGGCAGAGCTGAAATGGCATTGTCTCTAATGGGGAATATGACCTGCCTGGTCTTTGGGATTATTTTTAAAGGGCCAGATTTCCAAGTACTGCAACATCTACTGAATTCAAGGCATGCCACCCTAAAAGCTATATTCTTCAAGAGCTGAAGAAAGCAGGAACAAGCTTAGGGGGGTTCAGTTAAGAGTAGTAAATCTCTTCACTTGGCCAGAACCCATTATACTTAGTGCTTCAGGATAAAAGGGTATTATTTCCAGTTTTGAACTTGCACCTGAAGTGCCAAAATACCTGGAGAATATATCTTTGCCTGATATACACAGCGGGCGCATCTACACGTGCATCGTTACTGCGCAGTAACTATGGCAACTTACTCCAACCTGGGCATAAATTTGCTACCTGCATGATGCAGGTACTAATTTACACCTGAGTAATTACTGCACAGTAAGGCACATGTAGACGCCTTAAGGTGCAGTAACCCTGTTTAGTCCCAAGTCAGTTCACACACAGAATTACTATGCTGTAATGCCTGCACCTGTAGACGCTGGTGTAAAAGACACTTAATATGCAGTAAATTACTGTGTAGTAAATGCATGTGTAGATACTCCCAGTGTGCCCAGCCAGGACCAGAAGCAGAAAGGTGAAAGATCATGAAAAGGCATGCTCCCAGCAGAATCACTGAGGTGCCTGAAGTCAGTTTTTCCAGATCCAAAGGCAATGGAATATGTCTAATCAGCACCCTAATTACAATCAGACCCCAAAATCCTGACCTGGCTTTCAAATCCCTGGAGGTTCAAAGGGAGGAGGGTGATTGTTTCTGACCCAACATTTTGGGTTGCAAATATTGTAGAGAGCACCCAACAACAAAAAGTGAGTGCAAAATATGCAGCCCTTGAGCCTGGGGAGATGTTTGCCTGAGAAGAGCAAGGGCAGGCCAGGGTCACTCTTAATCTGAACTTCTGCATGCTCTTGAGGCCTGACCTCAAATGTCTAGGTGAAATACCCACACCCTCTCATTGCTGCTGATAAAAATCAGGATTCGGTGCCTAGAAGCACAGAAGAGCAGGCCTGGAAGGGACCTGGAGGTCATCTAGTCCAACCCCCCACTCAAAGCAGGATCTGCTCCACCTAAGCCAGCCTAGGCAAGTGTCTGTCTAACTGCTCTCAAAAACAATCACGGGTGGAGATGGCACCACCTCTCTGGGCAAAAATTCTTCCTAACATCCAACCTAAAATACCTCCAGCTGCAATTTCCCTGGCAGTCAGTGGAATCAGCATACACATGAGAAGGGAACCAGGGCAAGGATCTCCTGAGGTTCACGCCCGCTCGGGAGCAAGACAAACAAAAAGGAGCTTGGCTCAGAAAACCCTGCATGCTCAAAGGCATCGCTGAACCGGGGTCTCCAACTCAATGCAGTTTTATGCTAATCAAAACAGCTTCTCGGACAAGCACGTTTCAAAACAGCTTGTTGCTGGAAAAATGTCACAACGCTAGTAACAACTCCGGAGAGGAAAAAACCTGCTGCATCCTTTTCTTCTGCATCAACAACCGGCCGATCTTCTCTGGCATATGGCCAACCCAAATACGCCAGCTGCCCCATATAACTGTGCTCCACTTGCAAGGAGAACAACAAACAAGCTGGATGCAGGGGGGGGGGGACACTTTATTTATTTAGAGCGGTTTTTGGACAGGACAATATAAAAAGCACCAAAATAAGCTAGGGTTTTAAAATACATGAGCTGGGAGAGGCACAATAAAGAGAGGAGCAATGTGCTCACAATGCAGTTTCGAAATCTCTCATTTTGTGCGTTATCAAATCTGCAGCTAATAGCATTTAAATCCATGCTAGTCTCAACTTTGCTCAATACTCTCAGCTTCTGCTGTAGGCCACCACCACTGAATTTTGGTGGTGCCTCCAAGTCCCAACCAAGATCTGGGTCCCAGCTGGGGGGGGGGGGGGGG